TCTATGACACTTACATTGGTAAGAGTTATACTTTCCAAATATGTGATCCACTTTTATAAGCAACTAAAAACCCTGCAGCTTCAGTCACACTCTTCAAGCAAGAATAAATGACCTTACATCAATCCATTTTCACAATACCTGGCACTTGTAGAATGGGGGAAAGAAATGAGATAAAAAAGATAAATAACAGGAATTGTGAAACCTAGGCTGTTTTAACCTAACACTGCATGTTATATGTAAAAATAGAAAAACGCATTTTGTTCTTCATGCCTTAATGTTTTACAAACCTGAGATTATTAAAAGCAAAAGAGTATGTAGAAAAAGTTTCCATGTCTAATTTTTGTGAATTCCATACTTATCATACATTCCATACTTAACACAAAAGAGGCTCTATAATGCGCATGGTACAAAAGAAGGGATGGATGCATGGTCTGAAAGACACACATATTATTTTAATCAAACAGATCAAAATAATTTCTAAACATGGATATTCTAGAAAAAAATCAGAAAAAAACTACTAAAATATTTTGTTGTGATTCATTACATTTTGTCTAAATAATAAGGAACTGAAATATGCCTATGTTTCTCCTTTTATCCTTTGGACAAATGTATTAAATGGTTAATTAATTAATACAATGTGAGAAGTAGGGAAAACTATGAAATCACATATGTTTCCAAGTTTTTACCTAAAACCTAGTTGGATATTTTTTCTTCCCCTCTCCCCACCCCCACCTGTTTCTCTAGCAGCAGGTGTTGTCTATAATTGAGATATTTGGAGACTCATTGGTAAAGTTTTACAGCTGAGAATAATTTAATCAAATATAAATTAGTCTTCTAATTTATAATTGTACATTTAAATCCTGTGTGCAATTTCAAGGATGTAGATAGACTATAGCCAGAAAGTAGCAACAAAAAGAAGGGCTAAATATCTGAAGGTGTTATTAGCATAGATGTGTGGCAGGAAATTGATCTGAAATAGGCTCTTTTTTCCCTTGGTATGTAGAAGCGTAGGGGTGACTGCTGAACTAGATTAGGGTTAATCTGGGCCAGATACAGAATATAAACTAAAAGATCTCAGCAGGTGATGCCTAGCTATGTGACACTGTGAAATGACAATGAAGACAAGCAAAAATTTTGTGTGTGGGGGTTGCAACTCATTACAGAACAAATGGAAAAGCTAAGATACAATACCCTGATCTGTTATACTGCGTAACAGTTGTTACTGTTGCAATTTCAAATTCAATTTATGACTGCTACCTCATTTTGAAGTGCTAAATGACTTGGAAACTAAATACCTCAGAAATCATGAAAACTGGCTTCTTTCTACCAGACAATGTTAAAAACTATGTCTACAAAATGAGATAATAGGGAAAAATGGATTGAAAGAAAAGTCTGAAAGAAGCAACTTTCACTTTTATTCACATGGGATATTGATAATAATGATGGTTTCCTAATGTTAAGAAATATATACCCTTTTTTGAGATTGCTTAATATAGACAAATTATTAATTTCAGTTAGAGTTCCTAATTTATCTATCTGTTACCCTAGTGCAGTGGTCTGCAAATGATGGCCCTTGGGGTGAATCCTGCTGGCCACCTATTATTGGAATACAACCATGTCCATTCATTTACATTTTGGCAATGGCTGCTTTCTTGCTACAATGGGAGAGATGAATAATTTTGAGGCAAAGTCTAAAATATTTGCTATCTGGCCTTTACAGAAAAAGTTTGCAAGCCCCTGCCTTAGCACATAGAGGATAGCACTGGTTAGTGTTGAATAAAACCTATGACAACAGTTATGGGCATAGAGAGCATATTCATTCAGATGTGGGAATTATTGACTTTCAATGCATAATAAAACACCTTTATACATGCTTAGTTCCTGATAAAATTAAACTAGGTCTAAAATTAGTGTCTCAATAATTATTTATTATAATGTCAGTGACATAAGTTTTTAGTGTGGTAGTTGTATAGGGTATATTCCCAAACCTGATGCTCCTTTTTAATTATTGTTTAACCTATTTTAAAACATCTGGTGCAGAAAGGGGAAAGTGATTTAAACATTATCTGTTTAATTTGCTAACCTTCCTTTGCCCTTTTGGAAACAGCTTGTTCAAAGTCCATAGAGATTTGGATACTCAGAATAACCCTTCTGTATCACTTTTCTAAACTGAATTTCACTACATGCAATTTGGACTTCTCTGAAAGGAACAACCACAGGGGTTTGAAAATTCTAGCACAGATTTGTAACAAAATGAAAAAAGATTGGACACTGTCCAGAAACATGTGATGGTACTCAAAGCAGAATGACATTTGCTCAGTAAAGCTGCTAAAATGTTTCTTTCCTTAATTCTTTTCAACATGAAATTTATCTTCTTATAAGCAGATTACATTCATAGACAATACAGAACTTTACAACAGTGAATTATATCAACCAAACTACTAAAAGTAGTAATAATATTGTTTACAAATATCCATTGTAACTACATTTTATTTTGTGTACCCTAAGGCCTAACTCTATGGTACTGAATCTCTGTTCATTCATTACCCTACTCTTGTGTAGAGCATACTTCTTTAGGGGTTCTCTCTTACTATACCACTATTATTTATTATTATTATTATTCTTTATTCATTGGGGACAATAGGTATGCATTACCTGGAAACATGGATTAGAATGCTCAAGAATGTGTGTGTAGATGGAAAAATTTTTCTGTTTCTTAAGTTTCTTATATACCCCATTAGGAGGCATCTCTAAACTTTGGATTAGAGTCACTGAACTAGAACAATTAAACTGTGATGAGAAACTATTATTTGTATTTTCAAGTAAAAAACTTTATGCACACATGCTATAGTATTAAAACATCACTATTTCTATATTTTGAGACAGGTAAGCAAAAGAGTAAAAGGCCTTTCTTCTTGTCTTTGTAATAATGACTCTTTGATTCTGAACATAGTCTATCACTTTGAAAATAAAATGACAAAACTTGCAGGCCCAAAAAGAATTCCATCAGTTCATCTTGTTTATTCCCCTTGAATCTAGAAAAGCTAGATGTTAATATATCTTATTTAAATTAATCTACTATTTCAAAAGCTATCTTGCAGCCAATTTATTCTTCTGAATAAATAGTTCCAGGAAAGGAGACGGGAGGTTAGTACTTTACCTAGCTAGGCTCAATACTGAGACCAAGTCAGATGGCATCAACTGAGAGAAAGGACAGACCTAAAAGGGTAAGAAGAGTTGGAAGATAGTTTGGAAGATCTTAGAGAAAATCACTTTATAACGTGGCAGCACAGAGAGGAAGAAAACCTTTGGATTTGGCCAATAACATAAGTGAGAAGTGAGTCACCAAAAGCATTAAGTCAGTTCAGATCCAAAATCAGAAGGGGCTACCTACCGTGGCAGCACAGAATTTCTCTAGGTTTCCTTGTTGGAAAACTTTACACCGCTCAGTGTATTCCAAGTGTGAGTATGCACGGTGAGGGGAAAGTGTTGGCCATGATAATGGTTCTCTGTGTCCTACTTCTTTGATCTGTGTTCTTCTTGATGGACTGAAGCTGCTTATGGCCTCAGTGGAAGTCAATATCCTCCTTTAGCACATATTCTGGTTCTCCTTTTGGGTTACTACACAGACTGCTCATGTGCTCAATTGTATGGTTGGATATTGGTGTTTTAGACAGAACAAGGAAGAGTTAAAAGACAGCATTCTTATTCTCATGATCTTCACTGTGGCCCCATAGCTATTTGTGCTCTTGTAGAGCACAAATAGCTATGGGGCCCTCTAGAAACTCTTCTTGTAATCTTTCTGAGAAATACATATTTTTAAGTTGTTGTTTTAGAACTGGCCAGTGTACTGTGTGGTATTGGGGTGTGCAGCAGGATAGTTGGAAAGTCAGTCGTAGTTACCATGGACCAGCATGTCCAGGAGTTGAGTGCTGGCAGGCAAGATATAAATCATTTTGTTCACAAAATGTGAAGAAATGTTTTACTTGTTGGATATATAGCTGGCAAGACTCCATTTGGCTGGCAATATAAAGGCACATACAGATTTGGAAGTCCTTAAATAGTGCATGCCCAAATCGGTTGACATTCAAGTAGATTTCTCTGGAATTGTGATTGAGATGTTATGAGATTTAGAAATAAATATGGAAGATCAGAATCTTGAATAATGTGCAGGATGGAAAGTAACAGGTTTATTTTTGTTGGAAAATTTGCCCTTGACTACTCGATAGCTTGCCCCTTGGAAATACTGAGGTGAATTAATTAAGATATTTCCTGTGAGATTAGGTCAATTTTTCCTTGACTTGAATTATTACAATTTGTACATGTTTCAGCTTCCATCTTGTCATTATTTATAGCTCTGAAATAAAAAATTCTCAGAGGATTGAAGGAAATTGGGAATATGTTCCACACTGTCCAAATGAGACTCCCTCAGGGTTGATTCCTTCAAGACATTTTAGTGGAGCAGAAAGTAATTTTAATTAAGATCTTCTTAAGCTTATAAAGCATGATAAATCTGCTTCAGGGAGGAAAAAGGATATAGGATTGCAAATAAAAAGAAACAACTCATATAGGTAATTTTTTCTCCATCTCTAATCTTAGAAATCTAAGCAGATCTTTCTTTAGAAGGTGAATTAAAAAAAATTAAAATAATAAACACATAAAAACCATTATCAATAAATAATAACCTCTCATTCACATTTACAAAAAGCAGGAACACCTAAATAAAAAATTGAATTCCTTTGAAATTTCCAAAATCAGGTCCAATTACCTAGCTATTTTCAGACTCTGGGAATCTCTTGTAACTGGAACCAAACTACGCAAATTTATTTGAGAAAACAAGTATTCACCACATGTATACATTGCCTAAGTGATGTATACACAAACTTAGGAGTTCCAGACCTTTCTTTTCTATCACTCAGGTGACAATGCTGCTGACTTTTGTTGTTTTAAGAATTTGGAGTCATGTAACATAGGTTGGAGATCAGGAGGGTGACACTAACCTGATGCAGGTGCCATTGTTTTGGCATAGATTACGAGCACACCAAGGGACGTGGCAGTTCTCAATGTTCTTTCCACGTCGTGCTTCATCAATAATGAAGAATTCTTTGTTGTTTACTTGAAGTTCTCGTATACAGCCTTTGAATCCATAAATCTGGCCCACATTTTTATGGATATTAACATTTTCAGGGATATGGCCAAGGAAGATTGATTCAAAATACACCTATAGGAAAAGTAACAACAAAAAACTGTATTATAAGGTGTTGTCAGATTATGTGGGAAAGATTTAGGATGTTTGGTTCTATAATTGGATGTTTTCATGTGTTTTTCCGTGTAAAATGGGTTGCTACTGTCAACTAGTTGTGTCACTTCTACTAGGTGATATGATAAGTTACTTTAAAAAAGGGCCCTCATTTTACATTTCTTTTTCATTTTCAACACTCTAAGAATATTTAGTATAAAAAATAGGCATACAACAAAACTTGCTGATTGATTACTTTGAAATGTATTTTTGACTTCAAGTGTTTGCATTTTAATGTGTACATTACCAAATAATACCGAAAAAGGAAATAAAATCATGTTAATTAATTATTAATAGGGCTTGAATTGTGTTTTCTCCACATTCATATATTAAAGTTTTAATGCTCAGAATGTGACCTTCCTTGAAAATAGGGTCATTACAGACCCAGTTTGTTAAGATGAGGTCAATACTCAGTAAGGTGAGCCTCTAATTCAATAGGACTTTTTGGACATTTATAAGGACTTTACAAGAACAATAGTCTTTTTAGGACTTGTATAAGGAAGGTTAAAGACAGACAGACATGTACAAAGGGAGAATGCCATGTGAACATGAAGGCAGAGATCAGGGTAATGCATCTAACAAGCTAAGGAATGTCAAAGATTGCCAAGAAACTATCACAAACTAGGCAAGAGACATTGAACAGATTCTTTTTCACAGCCATCAGAAGCAAACAATCCTGCCAACGCTTTGATCTTGGGCTTCTAGCCTCCAGAACTGTAAGAACTGTAAGATATTTGTTTAAGCCACCCGGTTTGTGGTACTTTTATTATGGCAAACTTAGCAAACTAATACAATGATATTATGTTTCAAATATCCTAAAATATGAGCGAATTGTATGGTGCTTGCATATGGTACTTGGAAATTAATAATCTTATATTTTTTTCTCCCAAAGTATGAATATAAACATGCATCAGAAGTAGAACTTTGCTTAGATTATATTCTATTCAGTTCCTTTATTCACCCTTTATTAAAAAATCAGATCAAGAAAATGCTTATGTTTGGGAATACATAAAGAAGCCAGACCATCTCAAAGACAACCAACTCATTTATAGACAATGAGTAGAATAAAGAGACTGTAAAATTTGGGCCTTTATTTGGACAATACATCAGAGCCACATCTTACACAGTAGTCAATTCTGAAATTGGTGTATAAGATGAACATTTCATAGAATATAAACTGCCCTTGGAAATTCCTTGGGCATCACATTGGAGACCAACACGCTTTCTCTGAATAACTCCAACACAGCTACATTTTTTCTGCTAGCTTTGAAATAGCTTGCTATTCTGTCAGTGCAGCTCCAGATGAAGCTGACATTTTGTGGTAATGTTGTATAAAAACTCCAGAATCCACCTCTGTGTGGTGAAATGTCCCACTAGGAGAGACAAGAAGGAACTGATACTGAGAGTACAGCAAATCCGCTTCTTACATCAAATACTCACTGCAGGGCTTATACTCGTTGACTGGAATCACTTATATGATTTAAATTGCTACTGCAGCTCTACTTTCCCACCCATAGAAGCATACATAATTGAATTCTCACAATTTAGATGTACATAAAATGCAACTCTCCTCAATAAGAATTTATGAGCTACAATCAAAGTCTTCTTATGAACTGGTAATGAGACCCTGCTCTTTGGGGCTCTTAGGCATATGGCAGGTAGAGGTAGCAGCATTTGTGTTGTTGTGCCTCTGATATTTCCATTCCCAACACACACTGTCACTCCCCAAACTGACATCTGAGAAGTATTGAAATTGGTATTACAGATGCAATAAAATGGAAAACAATCATTGCAAGATTCTAAAAACTAGAGCTAAATAATTAAGTTACAAGTCTTGGGGAGAGGAGAGCATGAGAGATGCCCAGGAATACCACTTTACATTTACACTAATATGTACTGGTTTTATGCAATGTGCTTTTAAGGAATAGAAGCATACTCAATTCTAGGAAGAGCAAAGCATCTCCTTGACCCATAACAGGTCAAACTAACTCTACATTTGAGCTCCTGTTATTTTTTAAAAGACTCAGTCTCTGCTCCTGAGGGCATTTCTTAAAATGCCCCAGAGGGTGACCATCTTTGGGCATAGTGGAAGTATGGTGGAAGGTCAGTTAAAAGTTTCAAGGTGTATCAATAGAGCCCTAGAATAGCAAAGGAGTATTTTTGTTTGTTTTCACATCCCTTCTTTGTCAGATGCTAAATCAGTTTATATTAATTGCTCTAACAAACAATTAGGTGACCTCTTTCATCAGCTAAGATAAGTGACCCACTGCTAATACAATCTGGGATGTATCATGAACTTTCAGACTCAGTGCATCCAAGGCATGACCTCCCTTTCGCTGAGGATCTTTGACATATTAGTGTATTGATCACACACCTGGAAAAGCAAACCTTTCACTGCTTTGACAAGTGTGCTGTTTTAGCACAAAACTGATAGAGAATGGAAGAATACTCTCCTTTTCTGTCAGCAGCAGGCAGGTATAAGGGAAAGTCTATAGAGCCGTCTATGATTTATTAGGCCATTAAAAAACACCCAAACAATGGAAATAAATGGCACTTGCATTTCTTCTGATCTGAGGGCCAAGCTTAGTTGGAGCCCTGAAATGTCTAAAAAATCAAATGTCGTTGACTACACATAGATAACCATTAATATGGTTGACTACCTCTATTCCCAGACTTTCAATTATCCAAGAGATGACTTTTGCGTGTATAATTATTCCTCAGGAGACAGGTCTTTAAAATAAGTCTTTTCTAATAACTCCTTGTGAATCAGACTATGAAGAATAAAGTCTGACATCAAGATATGATCTTACAAGTTAAAAGCACAGAGAACAGACATGGACAATCAAGGAGGAATCATCAAAATAATAAAAAATATAATTGGTAACTGAGGGAAAAGGAGTTCACATCTGACAAGAGTGAAAGGAACACTCCCTTTCCTCTCAGAGTTTCTCTTTAAAGGAAGAATATAGTTACTCTTTTATAATACGTGTGAATAAAATAAGAAGATAGGCAAAGGGGAAGTAAACTTCTAAAAACCAGCAGAGTGGTGATGGATAAGAAGCTGTTCTATTTCTTTTTTGTTCTGCTTTAATTTAAATTTAGGTGTTGGGGTACTGCACACATTTATTTAATGACATCTTGATTCAATGCTTACTTTTATTTTACATCCTCAGTTCTGTCTAAAGTTAAATGACTTTTGTTTTGATGAAATATAGGTAGGTAACTGTAAATGTACTTTTTGGTTAAGATTAAGTATCAGAGTATACTTGTCTTTAATAATATGATAACTTATAAGTTAAATGAACTGGTTTTTATTTAAGAGTCACTACCAAATTTTTTATTTTTAATATCATCTGAATTGTATGCAAATAAATTCACAACCAGAAACATTGAGTCTTGGAGTAAATATGGATAAGAGGTGTTGGGTAAAGTATTTCAGAAGAAGGATTTATTTAAGTGACTTTTCACATGTAAACAAGGCTTGAATTTTTAAAAACTATTTAGAGACACTAAAAGAGAAGGGATAAAAATACAGAAGCAGTATTTATCAAAATCTCCATCCCTTTGCAGTTAAAAGATCTCTCTCTTGCTTTTCTGTAAAGTGCAATAATCTGTAAGCATATGGTGTATTCTATATTTATTTGTATTTACTTTTAGGGCAGGGCCTCCATCCTGATCATCTTTGGATTCTCTAGGCATCCATAGCAGTGACTTAAAAATAGGAGGTTTCATACAAGTTTGTTACAAATGACCTGTTTCATGAAACTCGATCCTGCTTTTCTGCAGCCTCCTACTTGTATTTAAGGCCTCTTTTCCACCTTTATGGTGCCTTAAAACCTTGCTATTTTGCCAGATTCAGCATGTGAGAGATCCTCACTAAATACCATCCAGAAGGAATATCACATTATCATTCTATTATACTTCTTTATATTTAATATATATGGCATAGAGCACAGGACAGTGCTTACATGAAAGTTATTGAATTATGAAATTAAAGTAGTTCACACAAGGTTATTTTTTGAACTTTGATAAATATCAGTGAAGTTCTCATTGGTCCCACACTTCACAGTTAAAATATTTGATTCTTAAGGCTTTCTGGACTAGGGAATATTCTCAAAATAATATCTTCTCTCCTTGTCAAAGGTAAAACTGAGCTTTAGAAATGTAATCAATGACTTGAGGGGCTACCCTGTGAACACATTGAACTAGGAAAGTGTAAATAAAAAAGGAGGGTATGGGATTGTCTATGAAGAAATTAAATGTAATTTGGGGACATAAATCATAAAAATTAGGTGCAAAATAATAATATACAGGTCAGCAAGATGGCAGAATAAGAGAGACCTTCCTTTCCCAATGGAGACACAGATTCAACAACAATATATGAACCGATTCACTTTGTGATAAATTTAGAAAATAGTTAAGAGGTTCCTGTGTGCCAGGCAAGCAAGAAACCAGATGCATCAAAGCTGGAAGGAAAATTTATGACACTCACTATAGTCCCTCCCCCCAGCATAGCATGGCACAATGGAGGAAAAATTCCTAGCGCCCAGATTCTCTCTGGAGAGGCACAGAGAATACTCAAACATGTCCAGTATGCATGCTCTTTGGGGAGCTGCCCAAAGGTTTGGCTGTCTTGTCTGAATCAGGAAAGGCCACTACACTGGGGCTTGTGGAGAACAAAGGTGACAGTGTGGACTAACATGAACTCATTTCCCATAGTTTCTCACTCTGGCTCATCAGTTTCTCTCATGAGTGAGAGAAAACCCTCAACTCCCAGTTTCTCCCTAGGAAGGGAAAGAATTGGAGTGTGTGTCCAATGTTCTGGATTTTTTGGGGGTGTGGTTACTGTCTTGCTAACTTCTATTTCACCTGTCCTGAGAGCTATGGGACTTGGCATATGTTAAATGCATGGAGCCTGCTGA